AGTCTTGGGATAAGACAACAGCAGAGAATAAAATAACCTTCGGCGTAGAGTATTACCTGTGCAATCCATATGGGAAATTAATAAACATTATATTTGAGAAAACTAAGCTGAGCAAGGAAATCAGATATGATTGTATTCATCTCACGTAAATCACACTTATACATTGTTCATAAGAATTAAGGCGGGATGGGTGTAAGAGAAGACTTTATTTCACACTCGCAAGAATGCTTGGGAAATTCACTGCCACAGGAGGTGGTGGCAGCTCCAAGCATGGACGGCTTCAAGAGGGAATTAGATAAGCATATGGAGCAGAAGTCCATCTGTGGCTATTAGCCACAGAGTATAGTTAGGAACTCTCAGTCTGGGGCAAGGGATGCTCTGTGTTCTTGGTGCTTGGGGGGGCAACAGTGGGAGGGCTTCTAATGTCCTGGCCCCACTGCTGGACCTCCTGATGGCACCTGGTATTTCTGGCCACTGTGTGACACAGAGTGTTGGACTGGATAGGCAATTGGCCTGATCCAACACTGGCTTCTCTTATGTTGTTATGTTAACCTGAACTCAAAAATGATAAGTTTTCTGTGCAACAGATCGGGGCTCCTTCATTAAGAAATATTTATAGGAGGACTACACGAATGCATACTCATGAACGCACACGAAGCTGCCTTGTACTGAATCAGACCCTTGGCCCATCAAAGTCAGTGCTGCCTACTCAATACTGGCTCTCCAGGGTCTCAGGCGGAGGTCTTTCCCATCACCTCCTGCCTGGTCCTTTCAACTGGAGATGCCGGGGCTTGAACCTGGGACCTCCTGCATGCCAGGCAGAGGCTCTTCCACTGAGCCATAGCCCCTCTTTACAGCTCTCCAGGGTCTCAGGCGGAGGTCTTTCCCATCACCTCCTGCCTGGTCCTTTTTAACTGGAGATGCTGGGGATTGAACCTGGGACCTCCTGCATGCCAGGCAGAGGCTCTTCCACTGATCCACAACCTCCCTTTACAGCTCTCCAGGGTCCCAGGCGGAGGTCTTTCCCATCACCTCCTGCCTGGTCCTTTTTAACTGGAGATGCTGGGGATTGAACCTGGGACCTCCTGCATGCCAGGCAGAGGCTCTTCCACTGAGCCATAGCCCCTCTTTACAGCTCTCCAGGGTCTCAGGCTGGGGTCTTTCCCATCACCTGCTGTCTAGTCCTTTTAACCGGTGATGCCAGGGCTTGAACCTGGGACCTTCTGCAGGCCAGGCAGAGGCTTCTCCACTGAGCCACACCCCCGCATGCGCCACACTTCTCAGTTCTACCCAGCTGTTATTCTTCCAGACATTACCTGTATACTGAGAAATCAAGATGAAGGGCTAACCCAGATACAATTCAGCAGCAGAAGAGCAGGTTTTTATACCCTACTTTTCTCTACCTTAAGGAGTCTCCAAGCGGCTCACTATCACATTCCCTGTTCCCACGGCCTGTTCCTTGATCCATTTTTAACGGCTCAGGAGAGGGCCGTAGGACTGCATACCTCTTTCCGTTCTGCTTGTAATTCCTTCCCACTCTCAAGCCCACTGGCCTTAGCCATGATTAAGGCTTCCACTGGATTCAGCCTTAGCCGTGGTTAACGCTGACCAGGGTTCTGTTAACCGAGGCTTTGATACCCATTTCTTAGCTTCTTCATTCCAGGTGGCGACACTTGTCCAGTGGCTTGGGACCCACGCGTGGCTCTTTGACAAACCACCCGTGGCTCCTCTGATCGCTGCTGCCCCTAAGGATATCCATCTGTCCTTGACCAGGGTCGGGGCCTTTATGGTTCTGGCCCCAACCTGGTGGAACTCGCTTCCAAATCCCATCAGGGCCCTGCGGGACTTAATGCGGTTCCTCAGGGCCTGTAAAGCAGAGATGTTCCACCAGACTTTTGGTTGAGGGCAGTGACGGTTTCCACCTCGGCTGGCGCCCTCTTCAGTTTTGAGGGCCTGTAAAGCGGAGATGTTCCGCCAGACTTTTGGTTGAGGGCAGTGACGGTTTCCACCTCGGCTGGCGCCCTCTTCAGTTTTCCACGCTCGTTTCGACCTCTTCCCCCCCGCCTGCGAAATGGCCGGCAGTCGGTAATAGGGGAATAATTAATTCTAAGGCTCATTATTCACCATCTGATTTTTAATGTAATTGAATATGTTTGGTAGTTTTATTTGGTGACTGCTTTTTAATACTGTCATGACCCCTAGTGGGTTGCCACCTTCCTCTGCCACCACTCTGGACTCAGAGTCCCTTGGGAAGGCCCAGAGGACCCTCCCAAGCCCAACCAAAACGCCCCTTTTAAGCCGAGAACTATAGGCACTATGACCAGGCAGAGAACAATTAAATAAATGGTTTATTAGTACAGTAATGGGGCAGGAAAACAAGACAAGGTGCTTAAAATATAGAACAGTGTCTAAAGGTAAAAATAAACAAATCTCACGGGACTACCCATTTCTCTTAACTGTTTACTATTCAAGGCCCAATGCCTTTATACCAGGCCTGTGCCTGTAGTCACTCACCAGACTGTCCCCCTCAGCTTAACTCTGTGAGAGGAAAGAACGCAGTCCCCTCAGTTTAGCTCTGTGAGAGAAGAACACAGTTCCACGGCCCACAAAGCTTAAGTTACAATCTCCTCACACAATCCCTGGACACCGACTGGTTACAGCCGTCGCTAAGTATTATGGGGATTGTAGGCTGTCTGCTTTCCACTCCCACTCAGGTTTCTTGGGCCCAGGCCTCTAGGCCTTGTGGCCCAGTCCTGCACAGATCATGACAAATACTATGTACATCGCCCAGAGCCCCACGATAGTAAGGACAGGGCGATTTAACAGTAACAACAACGTTTCAGAGAAGCGGGCAAGGCTCCTGCTGGTGGGGCTTCAGATGGCCAGGTGTTTCCCACCTCGGCCCAGCCACCCCCAGAGGAATGGGTAAAGCTGCCAGACACCCTGAGGCACAGGCCTCATGCCAAGGAGGAAAGCAGACATGATGGTTGATGGTGATTGTGAATACGGCTCTGTGAGAGTCGTCGAGTGAGCACCCCTGGCTCCATGTGTTCTCACAAGACAGGCACGGAAACGTAACGCTGGCAAATGTCAGAACTAAAAGAGTATTTTCTACTGGTTTATTTAGGGTCAAGTTTCAGAACTTGGGAACTAGCAGTGCAGTTGTACGTATGAAAACTGAAAGAAACTAACAAGCAAACACGTTAGGACTCATGCAAGTCATGCAACAGCAGGCAGAGGAGGGGAGTTTTCTACAGGCCAAAGACTATTTTTAAGATACCAAGGAAGGAAGGAAGGAAGGGAAATAGCATAAAACATGAAAACAGCATTGTGTGAAATGGTGGCAATTTTTTTAAAAAATAGAACTCTTAAAGGAGAGCTTAACTGATGCCCCCACCGATTGAAACTGCGAGGTGACAGCAAAGCTAGCAGCGTTTAGACTCGACCTTCCCTCTGTTGGAGGGTTTCAGTGTTCGCAAACGGGTAAGCGACAAGCAATTTAGATGGCCTCTAGTCAATTGCAGAAAAAAAGATGGTACTCCCAGGTCTTTAAGGGAGGGTGTGGATGGACATCAGAACGAGGAGGGCCTGCCATTTATCTCAGGAAGAAGAAGAAGAAGAACAAGAAGAAGAGATAGGATTTATACCCCGCCCTTCACTACCCAAGGGAGTCTCAGAGTGGCTTACAATCTCCTTTCCCTTCCCCTCCCCACAACAGACACCCTGTGAGCAATGTTCCCTCTAAGCTGTGGAGTCTTGTGAGCAAAAATTCTACTTCGTGAGCTACTGGCATTAAAGTTGTGAGCCAGTGAATTGTTTACTGCATAAATTAGTTTGCTCTGGAGCCATCCTTCCTGAGCTGAGAGAAAAACGTGTGAGCCAGAGGCTAAAGATCTGTGAGCTGGCTCACACTAGCTCATCTTAGAGGGAACACTGCCTGTGAGGTAGGTGGGGCTGAGAGAGCTCTTGACATCCAAGGACTAACCAGGGCTGACCCTGCTGGGCTTCCGAGCTCTGATGAGATCGGGTTAGCCTGGGCCGTCCAGGTCAGGGCCGCCGTTTCCGACAGACCCTTGTTTGAGGTAACACCTCAGGCTTCATTGGGTGGCTTTTGGGTGCAAGCCAAAAGTGAGAGATCACGGGAGAAGATGGAAGCCCGATTGAAACAACCGTGGCAGAAATGACAAAGAGCCAAGAAAGATATATTAGCAAAAATACTGACTACAATAACAGTGATTCTCTGGAAAAATAATCCTCCTATAATGCTCACACGCAACGGATTTTGCACGGTAACAAACACCCGTTTCACACAGATGGCTTTATCTGAGCCGTGTCGCAATTACAATTGTTATCCATTTCCACTTATCAACTGGAGAGCCAGTTTGGTGTAGTGGTTAAGTGGGCGGACTCTAATCTGGGAGAACCGGGTTTGATTCCCCACACCTCCACTTGCACCTGGCTGGATGACCTTGGGCAAGCCATAGTTCTGATAAGAGCTGTTCTTGAAAAAGAGCAGTTTCTGCCAGAGTTCTCTCAGCCCCACCGACCTCACAGGGTGTCTGTTGTGGGGAGGGGAAGGGAAAGGAGTTTGTCAGCCACTCTGAGACTCCTCTGGGTAGTGAAGGGTGGGGTATAAATCCAATCTCTTCTTCTTCTTCTTCTTGAAATAAACATCCCATCTCTTGAAATAAACAACCTTGGGTTCTGATAGGAGAGAGTCAACACGGGATGTATCTTTTTTTACTCTTTGCCATTCTTGTCAGGGTCGTTTCGATTGGACTCCCGACTTTTGGGTATCGGCAGATGGGAGCAAAAAGCGGGGCAGCCAGAGAATGGGGGAAAGGAAACCGAGATCGTCTGTGGCCAGAGGAATCCACAAGCTGCCATGTTTTATGCCATTCTGAGCAGCACCGAACTGCCCGACCCGGGCAAACTGTAGAAAGACATGCTAAGGATGATCTAGGATGCCGCCATGGAAACGAGGCATGCAGGATCCTTACCACCAGCAAGGCACTATCATCCGTGTGGTGGGACTTTCTGGACGGAAAGGGGCACTGGGGGACGTGGGAGAGATGGCAACGTCAGAAACAGGGGAAACACCACAATATGATATTTGCAGACTAGCACAGGTATCTGGAAATGGCAGGCTTCTATCTACAGGGGGCACATGGTGGCAATCGGTAATATATAACAGAAACTAAGAGGCGGGGTGGGGGTGGGAGAATAGGAGAAATCTCTCAATCTCAGCATGAAAACATCTGCAACTGATTCAGAAGCAATTTCTCTTTCGGTCGCCCTCTCCAAGTCTGTTATGTGAATCTTTCCAGGGAAGCAGAAGGCAATATTCAAGAAAGAACACACAGAGCTTGGAAGGAACCAACGCTCCCGCTAAGCTGTGGAGTCTTGCGAACAAAAACTCTACTTTGTGAGCTCCTGGCATTAAAGTTGTGAGCGAGCCATTTAGGTACTGCATCAATTAGTTTGCTCTGGAGCCGTCCTTCCTGAGCCAAGACGAAAATGCGTGAGCCGGAGGCTAAAAAAACTGTGAGCTAGCTCACGCTAACTCAGCCTAGAGGGAACTCTGGAAGGAACCTAATGTTTTGGGTTTTTTAAAAAAACAAAACAAAGAAAAAGGAGTTACTCCGAACCTTTCCAGAGCCACAAAATAAACAACAGGCAACTTGCAAAATCTTTTCCTATGTATTTGTGGCAATCTTGCATTAATTCTTGCCATCTAGAGAAAGATCATGAACTAAGAACTATTTTCCATTAGTAAAAACGAAAACAGAACTAACCTAAGTGCTGTAGAAAAATATCTTGCAGGGAAATAATAAACGCCCACGGAAAAGTGGCGGGAATCAATTAAAAAATTATGTTTCAAAATACAGATTCCAGATGGAAGAGTGCTCACTCATAGAACCAGAGAGCTGGCAAGGAACGACACAGGTGATCTAGCCCAACCCCCTGCTCAATGCAGGATCAGCCTAGAGCAGCTCTAACTGAGAGAGTGGGGCCCGGCGTGAGGCTGACACTCTGGCACATTTTGGCTTTTGTGCACTGATGACTGCAGGGAAGGGGGGTGATAACACAAAACCAGACCCCGGCAACTGAATGAGATTAATCTGTGTGTTAATGGCAGAGCATTCTGTGATTTTAATGGCAGCGTGGGGGGGCTCAGGTGGGCGCTCAATCCGTTATTAATGATGAAATGAGTGAACAGTGAAGAAGCCAATCGCCAGCAGCGCCAGAGGTGGCTTTTTAGACAAACAGGGGGGAAAGGAATGCCAACTCCGCAACAGCTAAAAATCCTATACTCACACCTTAACTGTAAATCTGGGTTTTTTAAAAATTAAAGTCAGTTTCACTGATTCCAGTAAAGTTTACTCTCAAGTCAGTATACTGTTAGGATCACAGCCTTCCCAGAAAAAAGGCAACGTAGATTATTTCAGGGCTTACCTCATTATCCAGAGGACTTTGCTTCTGTGGACTCTGGGACACCTTTTGCTTTAGAAGAATAAAAGAAAGAAAGAGCTAAGCGGACAGGCTCGGTCAACATAAAGAAGAAGAAGAAGAGGAGGAGGAGGAGATTGGATTTATACCCCACCCTTCACTACCCGAAGGAGTCTCAGAGCGTCTTACAATCTCCTTCCCCTCCCCACAACAGATACCCTGTGAGGTAGGTGGGGCTGAGAGAGCTCTCTCAAGGACTGCTCTTGACAGAACAGCTCTGAGATAACTTGTGACTGACCCAAAGTCACACCAGCAGCTGCACGTGGAGGAGTGGGGAATCAAACCCGGTTCTCCCAGATTAGTCAGCCGCTCCTAACCACTACACCAAACTGAACGTTGGGTGTTTTGAGAAACAGAAACTATAAATTTTGATTAACTTAGTGGCTATTTTGGTCCGAAGGAGAAGAAGACTTTCAACATGAAATCAGTTTAAGGGGGCAAAAAGAAACAGTTACACAGACATAGAGCCAGGGTGGTGTAGTGATTAAGAGTGCTGGACTTATGTCTCGGAGACTCGGGTGGCCTTGGGCCAGTCACACTCTCTCGGGTTGTTGTGAGGACAAAATGGGAGGAGAAAAGAACAATGTAGGACATTTTCGGTCCCCATGGGGGAGAAAGGAAGGGCACAAATGAATTAAATAAATAAATGGAATAATCATAGGACGCTCTGAGGCGAAGTGATTTAGTGAGCCAGGGAAAAGAACCCAATCGGTGCAGGAGAACAGGGACACAGTTGGTACGACATAAGATGAGCTCCCTTCAAGTACATCTAGGCAATGCACCCTCTAAGCTGTGGAGTCTCGTGAGCAAAAATCCTACTTTGTGAGCCACTGGCATTAAAGTTGTGAGCGAGCGATTTGTCTACTGCATAAATTAGTTTGCTCTGGAGCCCTCCTTCCTGAGCCAAGACAAAAAATGTGTGAGCCGGAGGCTAAAAATCGGTGAGCTAGCTCACACTAACTCAGCTTAGAGGGAACACTGCATCTAGGAGGTATCAACAGCTGCTAACAACACCACGGAGCAGCAAGAGGAACCCAGATGGAACAGAAAACCGTCAGTGGATGTTTGGATATTTTCCACAAGCAAGGGATTGTATTAAAGCAGCTATAAACTAACAGAGAATTAAGATCCAATTCAGATGCTAATATAGCCTCATCTGTTTTGGATCTTTCCTATGGTGTTCCCCCTAGCTGCCCTGTGTTTTTAATTGACGTCTATCGTTTTAATCGATGTCTCTTTGTTTTCATATACAACCACACACACACACACAAATACGGACGCATGTATTTTAAGTTCTGGTTTTTACTTTATCATGTGGTTTTTACACTACTCTGGCTTCAGTCGTTCAGTGCTACCTTGGTGGCCTAGACTGGACTGAAAGGCAAAATGTAAGTCTTCTAAATAAAATAACCACAGAAACCGAATTTCTGGTGCCAGAATAGACTGCAGACCAAGCAAAAACAACCTGGTCCTGGGCTTCAGGCTTCCCAGTGAGTCAGTTTGGTGTAGTGGTTAAGTGTGCGGACTCTAATCTGCGAGAACCAGGTTTGATTCCCCACTCCTCCACTCGCAGCTGCTGGGTGACCTTGGGCAAAAGTCATAGTTCTGTCAGAGCTGTTCTTGAAAAAGAGCAGTTTCTGTTAGAGCTCTCTCAGCCCCACCTGCCTCACAGGGTGTCTGTTGTGGGGAGGGGAAGGGAAAGGAGTTTGTAAGCCGCTCTGAGACTCCTTTGGGTAGTGAAGGGTGGGGTATAAATCCAGTCTCTTCTTCTTCCCCAAAATTAACTAGGATGCAAAGGTCTCTGAGGCATGCGCACGTGGACTGGGGGTAGGGATGGTGAGAGTCAGTGTTCCCTCTAAGCTGATTTAAGTGTGAGCTGACTCAGAATTTTTTTGCCTCCGGCTCACATTTTTGTCTCCGCTCAGGAAAGAGGGCTCCAGAGCAAGCTAATTTATGCAGCAGCCAAACTGCTCGCTCACACCTTTAATGCCAGGAGCTCACAAAGTAGAGTTTTTGCTCACAAGACTTCCCAGCTTGGAGGGAGCATTGGTGTGAGTAACACCCATCTCCCATCACTAGGATGTGCAGCCTATTACTGCCGCGCCAGGTGTGTACCGTCAGAACAGGCTGTTCAACTCGAATGATAAAAGGGTTGGAACACTTTCCCTATAAGGAATACTATTAGCAAAAAGGTGGAAAGAAGAGAATATACCTTCAATAAAAGAGATAACAGATAAAATATTATCAGTAGCGGAAATGGATAGATTAAGTATAAGGTTACAAGGTAAAAGTAAAGAAGCATTTGAGAAAAGATGGAAAGTGTTTTATATATGGCTGGAGAGTGTAAATAGAAAAGACTCACAAGAATAAAATGTAAGTTGATTAAAAAAAAAAGGAAAGGTTAAAGCATTTAGGGCTCTTTAGCTTGGAGAAAAGACGACTGAGGGGTGATATGATTGAGGTTTACAAGATTATGCATGGGATAGAGCAGGTAGAGAAAGAAGTACTTTTCTCCCTTTCTCACAATACAAGAACTTGTGGGCACTCCATGAAATTGCTGAACGGTCGGGTTAGAATGGATAAAATGAAGTCCTTCTTCACCCAAAGAGTGATGAACACGTGGAATTCACTGCCACAGGAGGGGGTGGCGGCTACAAGCATGGATGGCTTCAAGAGGGAATCGGATAAGAATATGGAGCAGAGGTCCATCGGTGGCTATTAGCCACAAGGTATAGACAGGAACTCTGGGTCTGGGGCAAGTAATGCTCTGTATTCTTGGTGCTTGGGGGGGGGGTGCAACAGTGGGAGGGCTTCTTGTGTCCTGGCCCCACTGCTGGACCTCCTGAGGGCACCTGGTATTTTTGGCCACTGTGTGACACAGAGTGTTGGACCGGATGGGCCTTTGGCCTGGTCCAACGTTGGCGTCTCTTCTGTTCTTATGCTGCAGCAATGAAAGGCCCTCTGCACCTCCTAGCAGAGAATCCTGCCACCCATGGTGGCTTTTGTGTGGTTATTTTTATGTGTGGAGGTTTTGAACAAGCTGTGTGTACGTTCAATTGTGCCGGGTTTCCCCAGCTTGGCAGGGTGTGGGGAGGGTGGAAATCACCCTGTGGTCCTTCTTCAAGTCACAGCCTGTTATCCGGGAAAGACACGGGCAGATCTAAAATGTGGGAGCCTCCCGGATCCCGGGACTATAAATAACCTCAATAAATTAGAGTGTGGTGCTGTTTTACAGGACTTTATTTGGTTCTGGGGATTCGTATTTGTTTTCATTTAACACAGTTGATATAAGATGATGATACTGTACGCTACGGAGATTGCTCTTGGCAACAGCAAGCTCTAAGAGGACAGGGGTCTCTGTTATAAACAGCAAGAGAAGAAGAGGAGGAGGAGGAGGAGATTGGATTTATACCCTGCCCTTCACTACCCAAAGGAGTCTCAGAGCGGCTTACAAACTCCTTTCCCTTCCCCTCCCCACAACAGACACCCTGTGAGGTCGGTGGGGCTGAGAGAGCTCTGAGAGGAGAAGAAGAAGAAGAAGAGATTGGATTTATACACCACCCTTCACTACCCAGAGGAGTCTCAGAGCGGCTTACAAACTCCTTTCCCTCCCCCTCCCCACAACAGGCACCCTGTGAGGTCAGTGGGGCTGAGAGAGCTCTGAGAGAAGAAGAAGAAGAAGAAGAAGAAGAAGAAGAAGAAGAAGAAGAGATTGGATTTCTACCCCGCCCTTCACTACCCAAAGGAGTCTCAGAGCGGCTTACAAACTCCTTTCCCTCCCCCTCCCCACAACAGACACCCTGTGAGGTAGGTGGGGCTGAGAGAGCTCTTGACAAACACTGCTCTTTTTCAAGAATTATGGCTTGCCCAAGGTCACCCAGTGGCTGCAAGTGGAGGAGTGGGGAATCAAATCCAGTTTTCCCAGATTAGAGTCCGCACACTTAACCACAACACCAAACTGGCTCTCCCCCATGAATCTACCTAAGCTCCTTTTAAAGCTGTCTCTGCCTGTGGCCATCATGGCGTAAATCACAGGATAAGAATCCCATGTCTCTGACAAAAGGAGGTCTGATTCTTGAAAGTCCACCCCCCCCCCAAAAAAAGATGCCACTGCACCCGAATTGAGCTGTTCTGCCGTAGGCCAACGGGGTCACCCTCGAGAGCCTCCATAACTTACTTTGACAAAGTCGAGGACCGCTTCCCTTTGGATCTGTTTCGTCCTCATCTTCTCTTCCTCAAACTGCAGCACCGCCAGTTGGGCTTCCCGGCGGGTGCGCTCCACTAAATGCTCACGCCTCCTCTGCAGATCTGCATCAGCGTGAGAGACCTGGGACAAAGTTGTCATGCGGCACACGTCAAAACCAATGTCTCTAAACCACACAACGAGCAGAAAGCATAATGTCACATAGAATCATAGAGCTGGAAGGGGCCATACAGGCCATCTAGTCTGACCCCCTGCTCAATGCAGGATCAACCTAGAGCAGTGATGGCGAGCCTTTTAGAGACCGAGTGCCCAAACTGCGACCCAAAACTCACTTATTTATTGCAAAGTGCCAACACGGCAATTTAACCTGAATACTGAGGTTTTACTTTAGAAAAAACAACTCACACATTAACTTAAGATGATCCAAACAAAGTAAGAAAAGCTATCCCAAATGCTTTCATTTACTTAAAATTATTTGGCAGAGAATTCGACACTTTAATGACGGTCTGGGCCTGGCTGGGGTGATGGCACGCGTGCCCACAGAGAGGGCTCTGAGTGTCACCTCTGGCACCCGTGCCATAGGTTCGCCACCACTGGCCTAGACCATCCCACACCACACCTCAAAAGGGGTACCGCAGGGATCAGTACTCGGTCTGATGCTTTTTAACTTGTTTATGAAAGTTTTGGAGTTGGGAGTAAGCAGTGAAGTGGCTAAATTTGCAGATGACACAAGGTTGTTCAGGGTGGTGAGAACCAGGGAGGATGGTGAGGCACTCCAAAGGGATCTGTCGAGGGTGGGCGAGTGGGCGTCAATGTGGCAAATGGGGTTCAATGTGGCCAAGTGCAAAGTGATGCACATTGGAGCAAAAAATCCTAACTACAAATACACATTGATGGGTTCTGAACTGGCAGAGACTGACCAAGAGAGAGATCTTAGAGTCATAGTTGATAACTTACTGAAAATGTCGAGACAATGTGTGATTGCAATAAAAAAGGCCAACGCTATGCTGGGGATTACTAGGAAGGGAATTGAAAACAAATCAGCCAGTATCATAAAGCCCCTGTATAAATCAATGGTGCGACCTCATCTGGAGTACTGTGTACAGTTCTGTTCACCAAACCTCAAAAAGGATATTATAGCATTGGAAAAAGTGCGGAAAAGGGCAACTAGAATGATAAAAGGATCAGAACACTTTCTCTATGAAGAAAGGTTAAAAAACTTGGGGCTCTTTAGCTTGGAGAAGCGATGACTGAGGGGAGACATGATCGAGGTTTTTAAGATTATGCATGGGATAGAGCAGGTTGAGAAAGAGGTACTTTTCCGCTTTCTCACATAACAAGAACTCGTGGGCACTCCATGAAATGGCTTCTAGTGTCCTGGCCCCACTGCTAGATCTCTTGATGGCCCCTGGTATTTCTGGCCACTGTGTGACAGAGTGTTGGATTGGATGGGCCATTGGCCTGACCCAACATGGGCTTCTCTCTTACGTTCTTATGTTCTTATCCCTGACAAGTGTTTGTCCAGCTGCTGCTTAAAGACTGCCAGGGAGAAGAAGAAGAAGAAGAAGAGATTGGATTTATACCCTGCCCTTCACTTGGAGTCTCAGAGCGGCTTACAAACTCCTTTCCCTTCCCCTCCCCACAACAGACACCCTGTGAGGTGGGTGGGGCTGAGAGAACTCTGACACAAATTGCCCTTTCAGGAACAGCTGTGCCAGAGCTTGTGACTGACCCAAGGTCACACCAGCAGCTGCATGTGGAGGAGTGGGGAATCAAACCCGGGTCTCCCAGATTAGAGTCCGCGCACGTAACCACTGCACCAAACCACCAAAGGGTGGGGAACTCACCACCTCCCGAGGCAGCTGATTCCACTGCTGCACTACTCTGACTGTAAAAAGAGTTTTCCCTAATGTCCAGCTGGTCCCTTCCAGCCCTTAATGTAAACCCATTCTCATGAGTCCTCTCCTCTGCTGCCAACAGGAACGGCTCCCTGCCCTCCTCTAAGTGACACAGTCCTTCAGATACTTAAAGAGAGCCCTCCTGCCCCCCCCCCCTTCTCCAGACTCAACATTCCAAACAATTCAGGTGGGTAGGCCTGTTGGTCTGAAGCAACGGAACCAAATTTTGAGTCCAACGGCACCTTTAAGACCAACAAAGTTTTATTCTGGGTATAAGCTTTCGTGGCATGCACACGTCTTCAGAAAGAACGGTGCATGCGCACAAAAGCTCATACCCAAAATAAAGCTTTGCTGGTCTTGAAGGTGCCACCGGGCTCAAAGTGTGTCCTGTTACCAAGCGACGGCTGCATTCGCAAAGAGCTCACTTACCTGATTGTGGGCGTTTGGCAGGGATGCAAGGCAAGAGAAGTCGCTGGAGCCCCTGTGAGTGGGTAGAAAAAGAACTTAATTGAAGACAAAATAAACACTTCTCATCAAGTTCACGGTTTATAATGCTACAATGACATGATTAATGCAGACGCTGTAATAAAGCTACTCTTCTCGAGTATCTGAAGAGACACAGCTGGACTGTGAAGCTCAGACCACTAAGGTCTGAATACAGATAAAGCAGGTTTCAAGTACTGGTGTTTGCAAAGGGGAAAAAAAACCTTCAGTCTTGGACAGTTTCTGCTCAAAGGTTAGGAACGGGAATAAAAGAGAATGTGAGGCGTTTCAGTACTATTCCGAGTCCTTGCAGTTGACAGTTGCCGTTCTCTGTGTTGGCTCCTGATAGTCCACAATCCCATCTCTAGAATGAAGTACACATGTTGTCAGGTGCCGTCAAACGGCCTCTGACTTCTGGCAACTGTAATGATTTCATGTTTTGGTGTGTGTGTTCCTTTAATGTTTAGTTTGACTGCAGTACTGAAAGAAGAGTGATAGGGGAAGATGAATGTATTCTGATTGGCTGATGACTGAGAGTGTGGGAGGAGGGGTGTCTGAGAGGATTCTGTGTGTGTGTCTATGAGGAGATTCTGTGATATGAGAGAGACAAGTATGGGAGAGCTCTGAAGAGAGTCTGTGTGACTCTGAGAGTTATGAAGGATTCTGTGTGTGAAGCTTAAAGAGAGAGCATAGTCTGTGTGACTCTGGAATTCTGAGTCTAATTCTGTGTGAATAAGACCAACAGTTTAGTCTGTGTGACTAAGAGAGTTGATTCTATTCAGGGTGAACAACACAAAGAGACTAGCCTGTGTGGCTATATATATGAGTGTATAAGCCTGTCAGAGTGGAGTTTGAGAGACTGTTTGTGGCACCAAGCTTTGCCGGTTATATTTACAAGTTCCCTTCTTCAGCAACTGTTCAGAATAACCAGAAACCTATTTTGTTCTTTATTAAATAAATCCATTTTTGTTTAAACTTATCCCAGAAATCAGTACAGTACTTCCTCAGGGCCGCATAGTCCTCTGAAGTGCCCAGACCCTAGGTCATACTACCAAAAGAGAGAGATTTGGAATTTTTTAATTCCTGGTGGCAGCATAAAACGACCACGTTTATGTACTCAGAGAAGATTTAAAGGTAAAACCGTCTCCCCTATAAGCAAGGATGCCACAGCAACCCTATGGATTAATGGCCTCCAAAATGTCTTCTCATGAACAGCCTTCCTCTGGGCTTACAAACCGAGGGCCCTCATGGCTTCCTTGATTGGACTAATCCATCTCCTGTTGGGTCTTCTTCTCTTCCAGTTGCCTTCCACTTTTCCTAGCATTACTGCCTTTTCCAGTGATTCTGGTCTTCTCATAATGCGAACAAAGTATGATAGCCTCAGTTTAGTCATTTTATCCTCTAGGGAGTGAATGAAGTACACTATATTTCCCCCAGATCCAGAATCATGCAACCAGAACAAAGGCTGAAAACTTGAGAACCTCTCTGAAGAGAAGAGATTGGATTTATACCTTGCCCTTCAATACCCAAAGGAGTCCCAGAGCACAGGCGAGTCCCAGAGCACAGGCGAGACCAAAGGAGGACTGCCTGTCGCGTGGATGTTCCAGTGCACACGACGGAGGCCTCATTGACAGGCCGGGGACAGCATCATTTTATAATTCAACATTCTCAGAGGCGGAGGAGGAGATTGGATTTATCCCCTACCCTTCACTACCCAAAGGAGTCCCAGAGCGGCTTACAATTTCCTTTCCCTTCCCCTCCCCCACAACAAACAACGCTGTGAGGTCGGTGGGGCCGAGAGAGCTCTTTCGAGGACTGCCCTTGAGAGAACAGCTCCGAAAGAACTTGTGACTGGCCCAAGGTCATGCCAGCAGGTGCAAGTGGAGGAGTGGGGAGTCAAACCCGGCTCTCCCAGATTAGAGTCCGTGCGCCTAACCACGACACCAAACTGGCTCTCCTCTCAGGGAGAGAATGAAGTATGCTAGATTTCCCCCAGATTCAGAATTATGCAACCAGAACAAAGGCTGAAAACCTGAGAACCTCTCTGAGCACTGAAACGCAGGCTCTCTGGTTGGAGAACGACCACAGGAAGAACCATACGGTGGGAGAACAGTGGCACTGTGTTGAGAATTTTGTTCCAGGTCTCACTGTTTATAACTAGTAGGCATCAGTTGGTAGTTACCGATACCTACATGTGCTTTCGAATAAAAGCTGGCAGACTGACTGCGCAGCCTTACGGATCAATTCCCGCAGTTGCGGTTCCTGACTTGAAACTGACCACCCACTGCTGGTGATAAAGCTGCAAAACCCACACTACCAGGCAGCCACAAACTCTGCAAAACTGAAATGCTCAAGAGGGCTTTTTCGATACAGGCAACAGACTTGAGCTGCACAAAATGGCTTAGAAATTTTTTAGGGGTTGTCTGGTCGACACTACTGTGTTTCGGAGCCAGTTCAGTGCAGCGGTTAGGAGCGTGGATTCTAATCTGGGAGAACCAGGTTTTGATTCCCCACTCCTCCATATGCAGCTTGCTGGTGTGACTTTGGGTCAGTCACAAGTTCTGTCAGAGCTGTCCTCTCAAGAGCAGTCCTCTCAAGAGCTCTCTCAGCCCCACCTGCCTTACAGGGTGTCTGCTGTGGGGAGGGGAAGGGAAAGGAGTTTGTAAGCCGCTCTGAGACACCTTTGGATACTCCTCCTCCCCTTCTTCTTTGCCACTTGCTGTAACTAGGATCCTGCTATATAGTTTTTGCATCCTTTAACGAGTCACGTTCATACTTATGCTTTGCTTCAGTTCTTTTTGTAGAATTCTGGATGGTTCCACAACCCTAATCCTGTTGTATTGTTTACTGAATGTCCTAACCTGTCAGTTACATCGACTCACTTTACGTAATCCGCCTGAAGTCCCAGTGAGAACATCGGATGATAAATAACGTAATGCAAACCATGTAAACGGTGTAGCCCAGGCCTTAGAAGGTGTTCCCGGCTCCTGCCTCTTGCCAAGGGATGCAAAACTCTGGAGTCCGCGAGCCTGGATCTCACAAACAACTGGAATTGCACGGCAGCAGCACATTGGAAACTGCTCCGGCACCAGCCCCGTGCAGCAAAGGAGCATTGCGCAAGAACAGGAGAGTGCTCATTGCAACAGGGCATGCGCACGTCTCTCTTAAGCAATTAAGCCTCAGGTAAAGTATGTGGCCCATGCGGTCATGGGGGAATGCAATTTATCACAACAGTGTTATTGTTTTATTCACTGAAAACTTTTATTAGCCACCTTTCTCCCTTCCAGAGCTCAAGGCGGCTTTCAACATAGATAGAGCAAATGTTCCGGCCACGGCGGCGCGAATGGCGACTGGGTCTCGGGACGCTCCCGGAGCCGGATCGCCCAAGCGCAGTCTGGGGGGGTCCCGCGTAAGCGGAGATCCTAAGGAGCCTTGGTGAAAAGGCTCCGAACCAGGGGGTGCTTTGGGGAGAAGCCTCTTGCTGACCACAAGGTCGGGAATTGAGGTTCTCCCTCTACCCCAAACAGCCCCGGCTGCGACTTGCCCCTTATGGGGTTTAGCAACGCCACCGGAACAGCGGAGTGATGGAGCGTTAAAGTAAAGTCAGAGGCATCGAGACAAGCGATGAACTGTAAGTTGGCGACTGAAAAAAAAGCGGCGGCTTAAGCGGGTTTTGCCCCCCCGGGAAGCGGAAAGAAGGGAGGGAGTAATCCCCCCCCCACTCGAATAAGAGACTTTTTAAAAGCAAGGAGGGGGGCGAAGCGAAAAGCTGTAAGAGCACATTACCTTCTGGGAGGGAGAAGAAAGCGGCGAAGAGGGAGGCATCCCTGAGAGGCACAGCACGAACTTTTAAAGTGTAAACAAAGTTAAAATATGGCGGGGCAGAGAAAACTACTAGAGAAGCAGACAAAGAAGACGGGAGGGACTTCCTGTCCAAGCCCTTCCCCTGCTGGAACTGCTGTCAATCAACAAGAAGGTGATCTTGCGCGCCATCTGCTGGAGGAACTGCAAAAAATTAATCAAAAACTGGATTCTATGGAAAGTGCCTATGGTCTTCAACAGAAGAAAATGACAGAGACAGCCGAAAAGGTAGACGATATTGCAAAGAAATGTTTGGCATCAGCAGAAGAAGTACAGAATGTTAAGAAGAAGGTCATCAAAGTGGAAAAACACCAAGAAAAACAGGATAATAAACTGTTACTGCTTCAAATGGAGAAAGCGAATTTAACTCTCCGATTCCAAGGGTTGAAAGAAGAGAACGGAGAACATCTCAGAGACATCTTGGCAGCGGCTTTAGCACCACTGACCGGCAACGAAGCGGAAAAAATAAAAGAAGAGATGGATTTGGCTTACAGAGCCTATTCCAACTTTACAAGGAAAAATAAGTTGCCAGTGGAAGTGGTTGTGAAATTTACAAAGCAACGTCTCCGGGACCAGATTTTAAAGGCGGCATCAGCAACACCCTTGAAAATTGGAGATCAGCCAATCAGGATTCTGAAAGATGTTCCATTTGAAATCAGAATGAAAAGAAAGGAATATAAAGGACTGACCATGTTCTTACAAAATCACCAAACCAGTTACAGATGGTTGGTGCCCGAAGGATTGGTCTTTAAGTTTAAAGACAGAAGAGAAAAGATAGACTCTATCTTCAAGGCTCAAGACTTTTTGAAGAGGCATGCCAGCACAGAAGAAGAGGCGGAACTGGCCAAGTGGATGTCGGGACTAAGCGGGGAAGACAGCAGCTCGGAGGGAGAGGTGAAGGACGAGGAAGCTAAAGGAGCCCAACTGCAGAAGAAGCCATTGACTTTAACTTTTAATATTAAAAGATTAATATACTAATATACTAACATCACTCAACCCTTTTCTCTATCCCTCTATATACCCTTCCCAAGTTTCTGAATTGTAAAAGCTAAACATCTCTCCTTTTTAGGAGAGGGAAATAAAAAAAAAACATAGATAGAGCAAATAAAACAGAATACATTAGAAATAAAGAACAAAAATGTAAAATCACAACTCGGGACTGCTAATAAACTTAACCGAATGCCAGAAGGAGGAGGAAGAGGAGGAAGAGGAGGAGGAGGAAGAGAGGATTTATACCCCGACAGAAGAAGAGGAGGAGAAGGAGGAGATTGGATTTATACCCTACCAGAAGGAGGAGGAGGAGGAGAAGAAGAGAAGGAGGAGGAGGAAGATATTGGATTCATACCCCACCAGAAGAAGAAGAAGAGGAGGAGGAGGAGACTGGATTCATACCCCACCAGAAGAAGAAGAGAAGGAGGAGGAGGAGGAGACTGGATTTATACCCTGCAAGAAGAAGAAGAGGAGGAGGAGGAGGAAGAGCTTGGCTTCATACCCCACCAGTACCCCACCAGAAGAAGAAGAGGAGGAGGAGGGGGGGAGGAGGAGGAGGAGGAGGAGACTGGATTTATACCCTGCCCTTCACTACCCGAAGGAGTCTCAGAGAGGCTTATAAACTCCTTTCCCTTCCCCTCCCCACAACAGACACCCTGTGAGGTAGGTGGGGCTGAGAGAGCTCTGACAGAAACTGCTCTTTTTCAAGGACAGCTCTTATCAGAACTACGGCTTGCCCAAGGTTATCCAGCAGGTGCAAGTGGAGGACTGGGAAATCAAACCCGGTTCTCCCAGATTAGAGTCCGCGCAGTTAACCACTACTCCAAAGATAAAAGCATCTTCAGCTGCCTCCTAAAGATAGAGAGTGAGGGGGGGCCAGGCGCACCTCGCCGGGGAGGTTATTCCATAACTGTGGGGCTGCCACCGAAAAGGCCCTCTCTCGTGTACCCACCAGATGTGCTTCTTGGATTGAGGGGACAGTCAGGAGGGGCGTCTCCCTGTGATTTTAGTTCCCGGGCAGGAATGTATGGGAAACGGTGGTCCTTCATATACACTGGTCCCAAGCTAGGTAAGGCTTTTATGCAGTCTTTTTACAGCTTCTATTCAGTTTTGTACAGAACTTTCAAGCAATTATGTGGACTAGCTGTTGTAGATTTTCGGGTTGTCTTGGCATTGTAGGACCTGGTGTTTTGCCAGCAGCTGTGACTGGCATCCTCAGAGGTATCACACAGAAAGATGGCGTACTCTCTGTGTCAGTGTGAGAAGGAAAATGGTAGGCAGGTAATTTATATCTACTCAGGAAAGTGGGGTAGGGCTGAGTCATTATCTGTTAGGAGTTTCCCAGGCTGTGAACATGCAAATGGAGGAGCTTTCCTGAGGAGATTCTTTTGTCTATGGATTGTTTCCTGAGGAGGTTTTCCGTTTCCTGAGGAGGTTCTTTTGCATGCGGATTCGAATCTTATCCACATGCAAAAAAACCTCCTCAGGAAACAGGCGAAATGTCAGGTCTTACAATGCAAAGACCACAGCCATACAACCCGGAAAAGCTACAACAGCCTTCAACAATTATGTGGACGTAAGCAGAAGGAAGTTTTCACACAACAAAACTAAGGATGGCCATTGCCAAGCTTATGTGGTTAAAAAAAACCCCAACAGCTTCATTTAAGATGGGGGCATGGGACCTTTCAGCCCTCGCTTACCTCTCTGCCCGGTCCAAGTAGCCCCTCAGTGCTTGTTGCCGTTCCCTGTCGTGCGTCAAGCTCAGGCTTTCGGGTCGTCTTAACTCCTCTGCATCTCTACAAACACACAGAGCAGGGGCTGAGCACTGACCCGTAGGGAAAACTTAATCAATACGGAAGAAACATCAGGAGAATCCCGAAATTAAGGCAAGGGGGTTGGTCAAGCAGCACCTAATCAAATACGAATCCTAAAATCCAGAACGCTTAACTTTATTTGTTGCAACACATCTTTGTTGTTGTTGTTGTTGTTTAGTCGCACAGTCGGGTCCCCTTCGCAACCCCATGGACTACATCACACCAGGCCCTCCTGTCTTCCGCCGTGTCCCGGAGTTTGTTGAATTTCATGTTTGTTGCCTCGATGACACTGTCTAACCATCTCATCCTTTGCCGCCCCCGTCTTCTTTGATCTTCAATCTTTCCCAGCATCAGGGTCTTCTCCAGTGAGTGCGCTCTTCTCATTTGGTGGCCAAAGTATTTGAGCTTCAGTTTCATTATCTGGCCTTCCAGGGAACAGTCAGGGTTGATTTCTTTTAGGATGGACTGATTTGATCTCCTTACAGTCCAAGGGACTCTCATGTAGATGTAACACATCTACATACACCAAAATTCCCAAGCCACGGAATAAACTGATTTCGATAGTGCAAACATAATTAATAAGACTTAACCAGCTCCTTCCCTTTTAAGCAAGCCAAAGAGCAAAATTTGGCGACTTTAAAGGTGGTCGGTCTCATTAGAACAATCCAAGAGGAAGATGGAAATTTGAAATTCATCCGGACTGTCAGGAAAATCTTATAAGATTGGAGTTACGCAGAGACTGAACAGAGTTTGGGTCCAGTGGCACCTTTAAGACCAACAAAGTTTAATTCTGGGCATAAGCTTTTGTGTGCATGCGCACAGGGGTCATTTCCTGCAGGAACACACAGGAGCGGAGCTCTGGCAGTAAAGAGCCCAGGGGGCGGGCACATACAACAAGCCATACCCCCTGCTCCCAGCAGCCCTCAGTCAGAGCCAGAAGCAGCCAGGTAACTTGCAGAGCTCCCCTCGGTTCCCCATTCCAAAACAGTCTAGTGGCACCTTTAAGACCAGGTTTTATTCAGGTACAAGCTCTCCCTCCTCTGTGAGGACAGATCTGCACGTCCCTCCCCCCCCAATAGCTAGCAATCCAAAACAGTCCAGTGGAGCCTGAGCGGTGGGTGTTGCCTTCTGACACACTTCCGGTGATGTCAGGGGGTGTGGCATATGCAAATAAGTTATGCTAATGTTATGCTAATAAGCTCCTGCACCTCTTTTTCTACGAAATGACCCCTGCATGCGCACTTCTTCAGATACAGATGCAGGCACACAAAAGCTCCTACCCAGAATAAAACTTTGTTGGTCCTAAAGCTGCCACTGGACTCAGACTTTGTTCTGTTGCTTCAGACCAACACGGTGACCCATCTGAATCTATCGACATGGTCAAGCGTCCCACCCACGTCCTTTTGGCAAGGGCAAACATAGGGAGGGTAAGGGATACCTGCGTGTCTCCGTTCCTCTCCCCTCCCGCCCCCAAACAGAATACATTATAAGCTCTGCTGGCTGCAGCATCTTTAAATATGGACCAAGATGGGATTTCCACTGCAATAAAAAGCTTCATCCTGAGCTAGATTGCTACCGCCGCCCGCGGCCGACCTTAACTGTACTAATAACACAGGAAATAGTATAAGCAAGTTCCCTTTTAAATCACAGAATCATGGAGTTGGAAGGGACCTCCAAGGTCATCTGGTTCATCCTCCTGCACAGTGCAGGAAATCCACAAATACCTCCCCCTCACCCCCCACACACACCCACACCCCTGCTCCATGCCCAGAAGATGGCAAAAAACCCTCCAGGATCACTGGCCAAACTAGCTTGGAGAAAAACTGCTGCCTGACCCCAAATTGCTGCCTGTTTATCTTCGCTTGGGAATCCAAACCACAAAGCATTAAAAAAAACTGTTCTGAGTAGCCTACTTTTCCAATCCCTTGGCACACTTTCTTCAAAGAATGAAGCAAACTGACTTCTATATCGGGCCTTTGCATCGTAAGCTTCCGCCCAAGGCAAAAGGGAGAAACGCATTAATCGAAAGAAAAGCGACGCTTAAACTAAAGCTGTATTAGGGGGAATTACGATTAGGTTAATTACACTGTTCCTGGCTCCCCACTTCCGTGGGCAGCAGGAAGTCCCGGGACAGCCTCCCACGGGTTTAGCCAGCCCTGTTGTGAAGAAAGAAAGGACGCTTTCCTTTGAGTAAAACAAATTACAAGGAGAGAATCACAGAACTGGAACAGAAGAGAACGCAAAAAAACGTGATCGGATCTTACAAGCGTACTACTATATAAACCTTGAAAGGTATCATACAGTATACAGGTTCACAGAATCATAGATGACAGATGCAAGAGTGAAATACAATTTATACTACACCGCTGACTTCAGTGAAGATCACTTTGGAGACCCATAGTCCCGATTCAGTTCAAAAGGATCCGAGCGCAGAAAATTCCAAAAGACTTCGGTCAGCCCACAAGACTGTGATTTGCATCCAATAAAGTACTTATCGGATATTACTGCCTTGCTCCTGAGTAGATTGAATCCCGGATCCATTTCAATTTATTTTTATTTATTTATCATTGAATTTCTAGCCCTCCCTCCCTGCAAGCAGGCTCAGGCACTACCTCCTATAGGAGGTAGTGGCTCAGGGTGGCTCACAGATAGGGCGCATATGCCAATACGTCAAAACAAAAATAAAAACAAGATAAAAACAACCATTTACGATATTACGAAGTGCTCTGGATGTTTCAAAATCAGTCTTCAGTAAGAGGGTGGTTCAGTGGTAGGAGCTCCACGCCACGCTGTGGTTCGCTCATCACAGGGCCATCTCCACACCCCGCTGTTGCCCAAACCAATTGTTGTTGGTGATGGTAGTGGTAGTGATGGTAGTGGTAGTGGTGGCTCCTACTTGAAAGCCTGGCGGAAGAGCTCCGTCTTGCAGGCCCTGCGGAACTGCGCAAGGTGCTGGTGCTTACCTTTAAAGCCCTATACGGCCAGGGGCCAGCATACCTACAAGAGCGCCTCTCCCCATATGAGCCCTGGAGAATCCTGAGCAGTGTTCCCTCTAAGCTGAGTTAGTGTGAGCTAGCTCACAGTTTTTTAGCCTCTGGCTCACACATTTTTGTCTCAGCTCAGGAAGGATGGCTCCGGAGCAAACTAATTTATGCAGTAGCCAAATTGTTCGCTTACAACTTTAATGCCAGTAGCTCATAAAATTGAATTTTTTATCACAAGACTCCACAGCTTAGAGGGAGCATTGGTCCTGAGGTCCACAAACCAACATCTGGCCCCAGGGATGTCTGGCTAGCCTCGACCAGGGCCGGGGATTTTTCAGCCCTGACCCCTGCCTGGTGGAACGAGCTCCCGTGTGAGATCAGGGCCCCGCGGGACCTACTGCAGTTCTGCAGGACCTGCGAGACGGAGCTCTTCCGCCGGGCATTTGGTTGAGGCAGCGGACGTCCCCCTCTATCCCCCCCCTCCGGCTTCTTCGACCCTAACTCTTTCTGCCCGGCTTTTTCCGGCCAATTGTCCACCTGTGGCCTGATTCTGACTGGTCATTGACAATTTTTGTAGTTACACGGTATTTTACGATTTTATGCGCAAACTGTTATTCTGATACTGTTTTAATTGTATATTTAACTGTTGTACACCACCCTGAGCCCATTTGGGGAGGGCGGTATATAAATCGAATAACATAAATAAATAAATAAATACATTTATCTTGAAATTCATTAGGTGCTTCTTTAAAATGTTAAGCGCTTTGTGCTTCATGCCTGCTGTGTCCACAGATACCCAAACAGTGAAAGTGCAATAATCCATCAAGCCGAATTTGCCAGAGTATATACTCTCCATTTCACAAAGGCTTCCTCTTAGATGGAAAATTATATCTCACTAGAAGACAAAATATACCAATCCACAATGGTAAGGCACTCATCTATATATCTAATAGCCAACTTGCCCCTGGAGTGCAGATCGCTAGACCGGCCTCGCTGCCACCTCCT